CATTCCGGCAACGACTTTAACTTTGCCGTACCAGATTTTTCTGGACTACGATAAGAATTTACTGAACTCGTACCAATCGCTGGCCACTCGATTCCATCGTTATAGGGCCACCACCGCACATCAATAAGTTACGATTCTGAAATGGAAGTAGAATGTTGTTCGCAGCCCAAATGGGAATTTCATCAACGCTTCAACTTCTTCTGTTTTTTAAAGTCGTTATAATGCGCCCCCGTAATCGAAAGGAGAATGTGGGATGGCTTGTTGAGTTTCACGATTACTCAGTGTCCCGGTGGAGGCAGGTGTTGAGTCCGATCCGTGGCTCCCAGAGCACCTCTTCTTAAAAGATCGTATCAGGAGCTGCGGACTTGATGACCCACCCCGGTTTCCTGACTGACCCTCATCCCTTATTTTGTTCTGTCGTGTGCCTTCCACAACAGCTTCTTTGGCGAGTTGGCGAGTTGGGGGAGATTATTTGCACTTTCTTTCACTGCTTCGCTGACTACCGTTTACAGGTGGTCTCAGCTGAACTTGTGAACTCTTGTGAAGCTGGAGCAAGCTCGTCTAGCCACCATGGTAAAACGTGTCAACAAAAGGCTACCTAGATGGGTCGACACATCGATGGGAAGCAAAATGCCCCCCGTCGCCGAACTGCGCCACTTCCATTTTCAGAATATGTGTGAAGAGGTAGTACTGGTGAGTCCCATCCGCTGCTCCCACAGCACCCCTTCCCAAGAGATCGTATCAGGAGCTGGTCGGACTTGATGACCCACCCGGTTTCCTGACTGACCTTATGACGAGCGAATGTGTTACGTAACCCGATGACCGCGTACGACGTGTTGGATTGTCATAAGCGGTTTTTTCGGCTTCGATCACTCACGCTGACCTCGAACCCGCGTTGACGATGGCGATGGCTAGTCGTGGTTGCCTGGATGACTCTCGAATACCATACTGATTTTCCCGTTTCAAGGACATCAAATGGCAACATGGCAGTAATTTGCGCGAAATTACAGGCGCTCTTACAATTCGGCGTGCCAGGCGCTGCGGTAAATTAAGTGCTCCTCTATATGGATGTGGTCTCCTATGGAATTCTTTCATGTCACAGGGTAGCATCATAGTACGGTATGAGTGAATTTACGCAGCTTCATGCTTTCCGCCCTTTGAATGCTTTCATAGTTGAGGACTGGTTGTTCTATTGTTCTCGTAGAAAAAAAGGGGGAAAGTGGAGAGAGTGAAGAAGATGAAAAAGAAAAGAATGTGATGAGATCATTGGAGATCACTGTAGGATACCATCTATTGTGCTGAGGATCGATAAAAAAGGACAACTATTGATGCGATTCGCCCACCACCATCGACGACCATTCTTTCTCTCGATTCTTCTCTCTGACAATTACTCTACTCTACAACTGGGGTGACTTTGGGTGACTAAAGCCTCATAGTGTACTTCTAGTGTCGTTCTATTGTTTGACGAGCGGTGTGAATTGCTCCTCGACTCACCGAGACTTTGCCTTGGGGACCATCACTGCTCGACAACTGCACAGTTTGTATAGTCCTTACCTCCTTACCTATATGTGAGGTTTTGGACCGTCCCATACACGCCATCATTATCATTGTGGGCGGAGTCGTGTCGAGTTTTTGCTGTATCGAGCGTTCGGTCATTAGTGCTACTGACCCACTGCCCTACTAACCTAGGCGCGGCAAGCATGAGCTCTGCTCGGGTCGAATTCTCGTCTACAAGTGTTGCAGTTGGAGCAGTCATCATCAAGAAGGAGGAGATCACTACACCGACGTCACTTCGAACTCCAGATGGTGTCGAGAACCAGCGTATGTGAAGTTTTTATCTTCCATCTAAAACATCTACCACTGCGCAAAAGCCAAGCGCCAAAGTTTTTCGCTGACAAACTAAGCGCAAGGTCCAGGTTCGGGGTTTTGATTCCTAGACGGGGTTGAGGGTTTTGTCCAGTATTCTTGTTGCAGATAATTTTTTCGCTTTTTTAAAAGAGTATTCTCGAATTGTGCTTTTTACAGCTTTGGTATATAAGTCACATAGAATTTATAAAAAACTTCCAAAAAAACCTAATCTCACGTCGGAGCAGATGGTGAACACCCATGGGTAAGTGAGAGTCATCATCTGGGAAGGGATCTCGTATTTGGAATATTACGCTAGCTTTTTTTCGGTTTCAAATGGACCATATATAGGCCTTGGTCGTGGGAGTAAGGTGATGTCACTAAGGTAAACAAAGTAAGTTTGCTGCAACGACTGGCCTCTACCCCCCTCCCTCCTGCCTCCTTTGACATTTGTGAAATTTTGAGAGAGAGGTGGGGTCTTATTTGGAAAAATCTTCCTCACAGTAGATTCGTTGCCCGTTGTCAATCTCGATGAATGGCGTGCGTAATTAGTTACCATTCAAAGCTAATCGTTGTCGCGCCCACAGTAGCTCTTTTCTTCTTGGGACCATACTCTTCTGGGCGCTGTTTTGTTTCAATGAAAAATCCATACTGGAAAAAAGAGGCTCTTTGCTTGCGAGAAGATTCTTGAAAACTTAATAACTAGTAATTATAGACTCCCAGGCAGAATTCGTACCTGGAACTATAGATAGTGCTGGCAAATAAGTGAAAGATACTGTATTCAATACTACTAATACGATGAAGTCCCGTAAAGGGCGACCGTGTTTTACAGTAATGAAACAATTGGTTACAGTAGTCCTTTTCGAGTCAGGACCGTTGAAACGGGATGGTAATTTAGCGTTCTGAATCCTTGGCTTGTAAGAACAATGTAGGCACGCGAATATATTTCCAAGTTTTTTTTTGCATGTGTCCGTCGTTTGCCGTCTAACGTGCTGTCCTGTCCGTTTAATTGTGATGTCAATGTCCGTTCCGTCCGTTCTCGTCCTCGTTTTTGTTCGTCTTTTTTGTTTGTCCAGTATCAAACGAATATCAGACCATAAAAAGGCGCCAGACTTCAGAAAACATCCAATTCTTCCCAATTCAAGATCCATTGAATGCTCTATAATTTCGGTAATTTCAGCTCAAATAGAAGTTATACCATGTAAAGTATGCGGCGATAAATCATCTGGTGTTCATTATGGTGTGATCACATGTGAAGGATGTAAAGTGAGTTCTAATGGCTTGTTGAACCATTAGGTCATTTTTTATTGACAACCTTCAAGCAAATTTGTACACGTACAATATCCATGGTACCTAGATCTTTTTGGGTCAGGAAGTTCGGCTGCACTATCATCTTCCCAAGAGTTGATTTTCAAGACAAAAATTCGATGAAAAGGTCCGCTCACAAAGCCCAGAGCATTCAAAATTCCATGTGCAAAGTGATTACCGTAATCTGACGGACTGTTGCACAAGCTCAGCCTGGTTCGATGCGGATGATGGGACGCGTCCTCACGGCTGCATTTGGCGCGCCGCCAAACCCATTCTCCACCAGTTGTGATGGGAGTAAGTGGCAGCAAATGGTGGAAAATGACCGACACTAACCATATGATAGTCTTCTCGTTTGCCAATCGAAAAAAAAGAAGAAACGGGCTCGGAGCGCCAAACGCAGCCGCTCCCCCATTATCCGCAGCGAGCAAGACTATGCATCATTGTTGAATGGAACTAGCATAATGGAAACACTTTTGAGCATGTTAATCTAAAAAATATGAAGCTAACATTTGGTTTAGCCAGGCGGCGTAACAACGGGGTACGGTACGCAGCGCGTTGATACAGTAATTCGGAAACGAGCGTCAAATATAAAAGTGTGGGTTCATAGACACCCACACAAGAATGCACCAAAATTATGTGGGAGCGCGGGGTAGGACCATTATTGCGCCCAGGTTTACTATTGCCTGAGGT